ATATACAATGGAATATTACTCAGCCATAAAAAGGAACAAAATTGGGTCATTTGTAGAGACATGGATGGATCTAGAGACTGTCATACAGAGTGAAGTAAGTCAGAAAGAGAAAAACAAATACCATATATTAACGCATGTATGTGGAACCTAGAAAAATGGTAGATGAACCAGTTTGCAGGGCAGAAATAGAGACACAGACGTAGAGAACAAACATATGGACCAAGGGGGAAAAGTGGTGGCGGGGGCTGGTGGTGGTGGGATGAACTGGGAGATTGGGATTGACATATATACACTAATATGCATAAAATAAATAACTAATAAGAACCTGCTATATAAAAAATAAAATTTTTTAAAAAGTGTGTTTGAGCAAGGCCAAGTTTCTAAAGTTATTCCTCTCAATTTACAATTCAACCATTAGAGATTTAGTTCTTTGGGACCTTCATGAGCCCCCTTTGAAAAATATCGATATCCCCCCAAGGGCTAAGACTTGAAGCCATTATCAATGTTTAATCCCAAGGGATTAGTTAAAGTGACCGAGTGCCAATCCCTCTGCCACCTCTCACGGAAAATTAAATTGAGGACAGGCCCTATAGGGTGGTGCTAATAAGAAGGGGGTTGCTGAATGAACTTCACTAATTTCACAATGTTACCTTGGGTTTCACACTCTTCAACGCATGGCTCTCCTTGTTTCCTTTTTCTTTTATTTTTTTTTTCCCACCTTGTTCCACCTTTGTTCCTCTTGCCTAGGTTTATCCGTGTGTGCCAATGTCTGCATATATCCCCAGGTCTGTCTTTGTCGTGACACCGACTTGTCTAGCAGGGTAACCATAAAAAAATTAATTCAGATTCCTTGTTGGATGATTTAGGTATTTTCAGCTTTATTAACAGCTAATCACCACACAGCGGATTACTCAACCACAGTTTGAAATACGCCTTCAAGGTGGCTAGACTAACAGGAATGATCGTGTAAGGGAACTTCAGGAGGGCATCATACACACACAGCTATTATGTCTTTGTGGGAACGTGCATTTGCCTATGAATTGTCTGTGCATGTTCTTGGCAGGTCCCCTTTCTTATCCTGTTCCCAGCCCCCAGCCCACCCCACCCAGCCTCTGCCAGGTCTGCCTACCGGTCCCTCAGTTTCAGAGCCTTCCAGAGAGAAGTGAGAGCTCATTCAGGTCCAGCAGTGTCCTGAGGAGTGTCCCAGTGTGCCCGCAGCTGAGGCAGACAGGCCAACTGTACCCCAGCAGGGTTCAGAGTCAGGCTTGGAGGTAAAAATACATAGCCAGGAAGCTTGGAAAGGTGCCACTGGGGACACAGCCAGGTATTTTGCTCCTCTGGCCCTGCCCTGAGGGCCAAATTAGCATCAGAGGCAGAAGTGTGACCCTGGAGCCAAAGTTTTATATGGGCTCTTTCTCCAACCACTGAAAAGACACTGGTAGGTATGGGGGGTGGGTTGCTGTGTGGGTTAGGTTAGTATGAGAGATGATGAGACCCTCCCACACCCCACAGACGCCAGCTCCAGTGCTGGCTTTGACCAACTAATGTCAGCTTGGCCAGAGTGGCAGCAAATCGGGGTAGGGTGCTGGGTGCAAGCCTGTGCTCCCACATGCAGGTTCTGCTTTTGCAGGTCTGGCACAAACCACTAACTCCTCTGGCCACACAAAGTGCTCTGTGGGCAGGGCTAGCCCTGTTTGCCCTTGACGGGGACCGTTGTCAGTGGCTGGTTGGATTTGTCAGGTTTGCTCTCAACATTTGTCAATGACCATTGTCAGGTGTTGCTAGGGTTGCAGGAGAAAGGTTACACTTGATTGGCTGAGCAACTGTATTCCATAACCAATCCAAATGCTGTGCCTGGGGGAGGGGGACTCAACACGATAGAGCAGTATCAAGCACAGGCAGACACATTCCGGGTACAAACAAGGCGTCTGGAAAAATGGAATGATGGTGTGCGGGAGTCCCATGCCCCTCGACAGCTCCAGCCGTGACGTGGTTGCTCTTCAAAATGTTACAGCCTAGGTTAAAGTCATTCCCACTGATTGGAGGATATCAAGATTTCAAAACAGGGCAGTAGCAATTGTAAGGAGGAAGTAAAACTCCTTGCTCATTGTGTTTTACAGCCTTCCTTAGTAAAACTGCTGAATTGTAATTTTAAATATTCCACCCTTTCAAATAAATTAAGTGCAGCCCTTAAAAACAGGAAATGAGAGAGGCGTGCACGTATTGTCAACTAAACATTCACAGCCCTAGTACCACAAAGCGAAGTTGAAAATCAGGGAACAGTCCTATGAATTCACTATAGAAGGCTGACAACAGGGGCCACCACCAAGGGAGACGTTATGCCTCTGGCAGTGAACTCTTGGGCTGAAACCTGAATGCTAATTAGGAAACAAATGAAAGACAAACATCAGCTCGAAGGGAAATTTGGATCTTGCATGATCGCAGATATTCTGAGATTCAGATAAACCTTATGGTACTAAGGGAAGTTAGAGTGTGATGGTAGCAGCAGCTGAACCCTCCCTTCAGAAAACATAACTGCCAGTCAGCCAGATGTTCTTGCAGAACTCTGGCAATACATCAAAAGCAAACGGAATTATCTTGCCTGAAAGATAAGTTAAGCTTCTGTATAGTACTGGTTTTCCATTCAGTTATCAATATAATCACCAAACTTTAGCATTTTTTTAAATTTTATGGAACATCTTTTTAATTTTATTTTGGCTGCTCCGGGTCTTAGTTGCGGCACACGGGATTTTTAGTTTTGGCACGCAGACTTCTGAGTTGCGGCGTGCGGACTCTTAGTTGCGTTGCGACAGGCATGCGGGATCTAGTTCCCCGACCAGGGATGGAACCCGGGCCCCCTGCATTGGGAGCGCAGAGTCTTACCCACTGAACCGCCAGGGAAGTCCCTGAACTTTACCATTTTTATTGTCAGTTTCTATTCAGTCACAAGAAAAGTTTTTTTTAGTCTTCTTCCATTCCATACCATGCCTCTCCCTTTGCTCTCAGACCTGTTCCTTAGAAAGATGGAGCAGCCATGCAAGAATACTAAGGGAGGGAAGGAAGGAAGGGAGGGAGGAAAGAAAGAAGGAAGAGAATGAAAGAGGGTACATCAATGTATGTTTCCCATGGGTCCCATCCCCTATTATTCATTTCCCCTTTCCAACTCAGACTCTTCTGCTCATGAGGGACCCTACATTCAAGCCAAGGAGCTTGAGCTTAGTTTCAGACTGAAACAGTGTTTCAGGATTCTGCATTTTACTTTATATACATTTTGAAGTAACTCAAAATGAGAAAAAAGAATAAGCTTCCACAACTGAGTTTTGGACCATTTCACGTTCCACTTCAATTGGTGTAAAGAATATTCATGAGGAGAAAATGAATGTGAGGAGGATTGGCAACAGGACTGCCTTACAGAAAGTACAGCTTCACAAGCCTTTCCACCAAGCTCCTCACTTAACTCTACCCACACAGACCAGTGGGACCCACCTAGCTCACTCTACCCAAGATCCTCCTGTGTCTTAATGGAGACACTATAATAGCAGTATCTAGCTTTTCCAAAGGGGAAGGAACTTAGTATTTTTGGTTCATTTTTGTTGCTGTTGTTGCATGTGAGGCTAAATGCAGATATTTGTGCTGCTGGCAACATCTTAGGAAGTGATTTAACCCACTTGCATAGCCAGGCATAATTTATCATGTGGCCCTGTGACTTTAACCCTATTTGTTTCTTCCTTCCGATTATTTCAATCATGTTTGTGTATTAATGACTTAGGGCATAGCTTTATTATTTCAGAGGCTCTGAAGTCCTGCTTGATTTTTCTAACTCAGAACCTAGCTTTCTCTCATTCTGACCTTATCTGCTCTCTTCAGGAACAGATCCAGGAGACCAGAAAAACTTACCACCCACAGCTACTCTTCATAATCAAAGTCATTGGATGAAGACAGGCAGGTAAGCTGGGAAAGTTATCCTAGATCCTGTTCTGGCCCGGCAGGCACACCCACACAGTCATCGGTGAATATTCTCCAGGGTTAGCACTGCCCAGGGCTTTGCAAATTGGTGTTCTCTCTCCACAGTTTATATTTCAAGACAACTTCCAGTGAGAATCATATAGTCAGAAACCAAAATGGTAGGTTATAAAAACCTACTGGATCAGTGAAAAACAAAAATCTGACTGCTAATTTCAACCTATAATCAAACAGTAAAAGTCATCCATTTAACCTACATCCTTTTCTTTTTCTGAATCACCATCTCTAATAAAGGGGAAATCTTGTTTAATGATAAAAAGTAGAAGCAAAAGGCCTGGGATAACCCACAACTAAATAAGCAGTTGTAGAACATTAACGATCATTGGGAGAAGATGAAATCAAAAAGGGAGAGACAGGCAAGGGAGTTGACATGAAGTTTGAAAGACCACATTCAGCCTGCACCCTCAAGAAAATGTCTAAGAGAAAGTAGGCCAGAACAACAATGAAGATAGGGTGAAAAAGATGTGACTTTAGTTTTCAAAATGTCATGTCCGTATTGAGTGTCCCTTTGGTCCAAACGAGAAACAAAGGGAGAAATCAAACAGCTTCACTGACAAGCAGAACAGTTGGCAAAGAGTCAGGGGTAAAATCTTGGGGAAAGACTCAGTGTGCAGCCTAAGAACAGGTGGGAAGAGTCCTTTCAGCTTCTCTGTTTCTCCAAGTCCTGCTTTTCTCATTGCCCACTATTCCCCCTTTCAGTCTGCTCTTAATTTTACCCCATGCCATCGCTCACACCTGACTCTCTCTGTGGATTTTTCTTTTCTTTTTTTTTAAAGCCTTCTGGGGAAGACTCCTCATTCATTCATGCTGTACATTCAAACCATTTAAGATGTGATTTTTCAATAACATATGATTAATTTATAAAAAGCCACTTATGATGCCCATAAGCAGAAGGGCTGACTTGATTCCATAACAAGGCCATGACCAGGTGGTTTTATTGGTTGTGACTCTTTCCAGCCGTCAAAACAAGCTTGTTATTATAAAAAGCACAGTGGAAAGGGAGATCTAGACTTTGCTTTATTCTCTGGGATGTTCTTGAGAGTGAGTGTTGACAGATCACCAGGTTTTCCTTAATTGTTCCCAATGTGTACATAAGCGGATGTTTCTTTAGGCAAAAACAGCTATTACAATGAGCCCAGTGAAGCTTTGAATTTCCTTGAGCCTACAATAGATTTTAGGAACACCATTTATTAAGATCAATGTGCTTTGTTTAGGTCACTGAAAGCCATAACCATAAAAGAAAAAAACTGATAAAATGGACTTCGTTGAAATTAAAAATTTCTCATCAAAAGAGACCATTAAGAAGCCATGGACTGGAAGAAAATATTTGTGAAACATAAACTTGACAGAGGACTGATAGCCACAATATATAGAGAACTCCTACTCAGTAATAAAGACAAAAAAATTGCTTGAATGGATAGAGGATTTGAAAAGACATTTCACAAAAGCAGATGTATGAATGGCAAATAAGCACATGGTGACGTGTTCAATGTTCTTAGTCATTAGGAAAATGGAAATTAAACCCACAATGAGATATCACCACGTACTCACCAGGATGACAACGCTAAATGCAAGCTAGGATGCGGAGCAACTGGAACTCTCATACATTGTTGGTGGGAATATTAAATGGAACATCTGTTTTGAAAAAGGAATAGCAGTTTCTTTAAAAACTAAACATACACCAAAGACAAATATCATATGATATCGCTTATATGCATAATATAAAAAAATGATACAAATGAACATATTTACAAAACAGAAACAGACTCACAGACTTAGAGAACAAACTTATGGTTACCAGGGGGGAAGGTGGAGGGGAGGGAGAGATTGGGAGTTTGGGATTGACATGTACACACTGCTGTATTTAAAATAGATAACCAACAAGGACCTACTGTATAGCACAGGGAACTCTGCTCAGTATTCTGTAATAACCTAAATGGGAAAAGAATTTGAAAAAGAATAGATACATGTATATGTATAACTGAATCACTTTGCTGTACACCTAAAACTAACACAAAATTGTTAATCAACTATACTCCAATATAAAATAAAAATTAAAAAAAAAACTAAACATACATCTGTGATTTACCAATTAGGCAAGTAGGTTTTTCCCAAGGGAAATGAAAGCATATGTCTATAAAAAAGCTTGTATAAAAATGTTCCCAACAGCTTTATTCACAATAGCCAAAAACTGGATACATCCCAGGTGTCCATGATCAGATGAATGGTCGACCATACAAACTGTGGTATAGTCACACAATGGAATACTACTCAACAATACAAAGGAATGAACTACTTTCACACAGAATAACGTGACTCAATCTCATAGACAGTATGCTAAGTGAAAAAGGTCTTACTCGAAAGAGTTTATTTGATTCCATTTTTATATGAAATTCTAGAATAGGCAAAACTAATCTGTAGTGAAAAAAATCGAAACAGTGCTTGCCTCTGGGAAGGGGAGTAGGGGCGAGGATTGACAGGAAACTGGGAGGGAACTTTCTGGGGCAATGGTGATGTTCTATGTCTTAACAGGACTTTGTGTACACAAAACTCAGAAAGTATACACTTAAGGTTTTATATTTCATTATATATAAATTTTACATCAGAAGAAGAAAGTAAAGATCAAACTGAAGTTTTTAGGTGGAATTTGGTTCATGCCTGCCATTTACTTTTTTTTGGCCATGCCCTGTGGCATGCAGGATCTTAGTTTCCCCATCAGGGATCAAAGCTGTGCCCCCTGCAGTGGAGGCACAGAGTCTTAACAACTGGACTGCCAGGGAAGTCCCTGCCATTTACCCTTTTTTTTTTTTTTTTTTTTTTGGCTACATTGGGTCTTCGTTGCTGCGTGTGGGCTTTCTCTAGTTGCGGTGAGCAAAGGCTACTCCACGTTGTGGTGCGCGGGCTTCTCCTTGCGGTGGCTTCTCCTGTAGCGGAGCACAGGCTCTAGGCGCGCGGGCTCAGTAGTTGTGGTGAACAGGCTTAGTTGCTCCGCGGCATGTGGGATCTTCTCGGACCAGGACTCAAACCTGTGTCCCCTGCATTGGCAAGCGGATTCCCAACCGCTGTGCCACCAGGGAAGCCCCCATTTACTTTCAAAAGCATGAGGAAGATAAGAAGGATTAATGGAGGAGGGATGTATAGATATGCAATAAAGCAAGGTAGTACAATGTTAATGGTAGACTCTACAATTAAATGGTGGGTATATGGGTATTCACTGTAAAATGCTGTGTAAAATCTTGTGTATATTTGGAAACACTCACAGTAAAGTGTTGGGGGAAGAAAATGAATGTGCTAGTCTTACCCATGGACCCTCTTCAGTTGTTTGTTAGATCTAAATACTCTATCTTTTAATATTCATATTAGATTATAAATACAGAAGATGAAGCCGTGGGTTTGTAAGAATCTCACATCTGACTTCTTTTTCTTTTTAAATCTAGTCTTTCATACCTTTTATTGTAGCAGACAAAAGAAGCCAGGAAATGGTTATTATGAGAGGAAGGGAGGGAGAGAGACCTGTGACCCTAAAAAGAAAACCACACACAAAAAAACCTCCTACTGTAAAATGTTGAATATCAAGAGCCGGCAAGCGCTTCAGGGTTGTAGAATCAAGAAATTAATGAAAGCACCAAGACTGCATCCTCAGAACCACTGGGGAATGATAATTACAGACAACAGTATTTCTGGAGCAGACACATAACCTTGATTCCCAGGATAGCCCCTAAAGCACTCTAATAGTATGCTATTTGAGGAAGGTTTTTCCACCTTTAATAACAGGGAAATAATGTTAGAAGGAAAGAAATGCCTTATTTAGCCACTAGGGTGTCATTATTGAGCCCCAGTTGAAGGCCCCTTTAAAAGCATCCATATGGTAAAAGAATATGTTTCCCCACGAAATCAAAACTGAGTACATCTGAGACTTCTGAACAGTTTGTGCATATTTGTGAAAAAAAGTTTTATGATGTGCTATCTTCCAAAGTGAATGGTTATTTATAATTCATAAAAGACCTGAGCACAGGAAAATTCTTCCCTTTTATTAGCCCTGTAAAGTTAGACCAGCTGATCTTTTAGTACGTATTACAGACACCAAATTCTCCGTATGGTTGAAGTTTCTCTCCTCAAACTAAATGCGAAGAGGCAGTGCTACTGAAGCTATTCTTCAAAAGCTGGTGGGGTCCGTGTCTCTTTTGATTAAATGTTAAATAAACAAAAAAATCATTCTCAGAGCCAGTCTCTAAAGACACAGAAGGGAGCATACTTGGAATGCTAAACATGCTTTCTAAATCTTGCAGAGCCTTTGTAAAATACAACGGCATATTTTTAAATGGATTTTCTTTTGTTTCCAACATTTAACCATCGTCTTCGGACACAGTTGCCACATAGTTTCCTTTCAGCTGCTGCTGGCTGCTTGTGGGTCACAGTACAGGTTCATGAGCAGAAGTGACTTGGGTCAAGGAGTATGGGCACCAGGGATTTGGACCCATTACAGGGAGTCCTGGTGCCAAGGGCTCCCACCCAGCTGCACCTGCACATCCCCGACATGATATCACAGAAAGTTACTTCCTTCAAAGAATCCAGCTTCCTCAGCTCACCCTACCAGGGTCACGTCCACCTCGATTAGTGGCGTGCCTCGGACCCACATAAGAGAGTTTCACGGAATTTTTAGAGATCTAAGTTCAATCTGAAAATAACACATGGTTTTGTTTTCTTTGAAGTTCCCTGCCCTCTAATATTCCAGACGAGCCTTTTAAGCTCTGGTATAGAACTATCTGGAGATAGAAACTCTTTCTGTGTCCTGACTTTTAAATACCTTGACTTAAAATATAGGTTGTTAACTGCCCAACACAAAAAGCCAACTCACTTATAGGACAGGATCCTTGGTCAGAAAGGATTACCTCACCTTGCAAGGACAAGGGATGAAGGATTCAAATGATTCTTGAGCAACTTTTTTACCACTTATGCTGCCTGCCACAGAAGAGAAGGATGAGGAGATCTCAGCCTCTTGATGATACACCAGCTGCACTGTGTAGTACCAGCAGTGGGAATGGAAAAAGGCAATACTTATTCTGAGGGCCCTGACAACATCATCATGAAGTCATTCGTCCACTCCTAAGTGGTTTGCGTCTTCCAAGATCCAGAGAGGGAGGCCCATGAGCTGTAATTCTAGGCATTTTTTCCCCCTTTCTACCCACACTCTTCTTCAACATGTCTAAGCACTGTTTGGAAAAACTAGATAGCTGACAAAACCAAATATGCAATATGCTATCATATGTTTTAGTTTAACACTTTCAGAATTTATTTCCCTATCACATAAATGAAATCTTTCAAGTTCTTCTTCTCATCATCCACCACCCAAAACACTAAATCATTACATAACAGAACTGTTAATCAATTATCTACTGTGTCATATCCCTCCCTTCCTCCCTCCATCCATCCAACCATCCACGCTACAAGTATTCCTTGAGAATTTACCATGTGCCGGTCCCTATGGTGGAGATATAGACATGAGTAATTTATAACCTTGCCCTTCAGGAGCTTCCAGTCATACAGAAGATGCTCACCTCTATGTCTCCCAAGCCTTCAATGAACAGTTAACTTTCTGTTGTTACTTCATCACAGCAAGAAAACAGGAGCTCTTCCTCTGCCCAGATAATACTCCTACGTTCATGAACTTTGTCCACCGCATTTTCTCTGATCACCACCCTATCCTCTGAAACCTGGTACACAGTCAGTCATGAGAGAAACTAACTAAATTTACTACTGGAGCAAATTTCAGGACATAGCTTGGGTAAGACACAGGATAAGGTCAAATTCTCACTTTGCAATTTTAAAATTTAAATAGCCACTGCCAAATAGAGTATATTTAATTTTCTCTCTCCTTTCTAGGGCACTGACCCCCTCCTTCAGAACTAGACCTTTGGGGTTTCAATTCATCTGGCTAATTCACTCCAATCTACCCTTCAGTCCAATCATCTTTCTGGTTTCCAGAGATAAGTCATGGGATCCTTCCTTTTGGGAGGCCCTAAGTGTAGCTTCCTTACCCATCATTCACCGAGCTGTGTCCTTTGAAATACTGTTGTGCTTTTTTTTTGAGGGGGAGGGGAACTGAATTGGAAAGAAACCTGGGTTGGGGAGAGGATGCCAAGAAAGCACCCAAGGCTTCCCTTTATGCTGCATCCAGCCAAGCCTCTGACCGACTCAAGGGTTTGTTTATGACATTTCATAAGCAGACCTAACAAGCTCCTTTGGCAATATTCTTTGAAGAAGTTTCCATCCCCCAGGACAAGGCCAGAGCTTCCTGGTCTGCCTGCCATAGCTCACCAAGACTGGGTTCCAGGTGTGCAAATGCGTTACAGGTGCGTCAAGATGTGGACCCTCTCAGCCCAAGAGGCTGCCAGCCTGGGTCAGAGGTAGCCAGGGCAGCCACTCGTGAAAGGTCGGGCTGGGCTGATAAGAGTTCTGGAGAGGTGATCAAACTCGGCGCCCCCTGTTTGCCTAGGGGCCAGAAATTGGAGTCTGCCGTCAGTCCCGTGCTGGCACTTGGTGCAGAGGCCGGCTCCAGTCCTGGAGTTATCTCCTTATCCTCAAAACCCCCCAAACTTCCAGGCTAGGTTCTCCGTCACCCTTCACTCCTCTTTGCCCTGAACCAAAGGTGACCACGTCTGGCTGCTCTTCTGCCTGGTGTTTATGATCAGCCCTTTGGGAACCACTAGCCTGGGCTTTCCCAGCTTCTTCACCCTCAGTCCCCTTAGCCCAGCAGGTTCAACAGAATATAATGCCAGCCACTTATGTAATTTAAAATTTCCTACTAGCTACCTTTTTTAAAGTTTAAACAGGTAAAAAAAAAATTTTTGCATCCAAATTTGTTAATTTAAAACAGCTTTATCGAGATAAAATTCACATACCATACAATTACACATTTAAAGTGTACAACTGAGTATATTCACAGAGCTGTACAACCAGTGCCACGATCAATTTTAGAACATTTTCATCGCCGCTTAAAGAAATTCCATACCCATCGGCACTCACTTCCCATTTCCCTCCAAAACCCCCAGCCCTAAGCAACCAACCATCTACCTTCTGTCCCTGTTGCTTTGCCTCTTGGCCATCTCATATAAGTGGAATCGTACAATGTGTGGCCTTTGTGTCTGACTTCTTTCACTTAGCATTGTGTTTCAAGCTTTCCTCATGTTGTAGCATTCCCTTTAATCATTTATTTAGTTCAATCTATCCAAAATATCATTTCAACATGTAGTCCATCTTAAAGATGATAAATGATGTACATTGCATTCTTTTTTTTTCACACTAATTCTTTGAGCTCTGGTGTGTATTTTACACTCAGAGCACGTCTCAGTCAGACCAGCCACACTGCAAGTGCTCAATACCCACATGTGGCTACTGGCCATTGTGCTGGAAAGCACAGCCCTAGCCAGAGTCCTTTCCATTACTCTTTAAAGGCAACAGCTTTCTCTGTTCACCACCATACTCCTGCATACCCTCTCTACCCCATCAGTACCTACACCGTGGTTCACAGGTGGCTTTAGGATTTTAAGGCCAGCACCATGCTTCTCTTCCCCAGTAGAGAGCCCTGAGCTTGTGCTTCCATCTGGGCAGTGGCCGCTCAGGTCAGAGCCTGCACACAGATAACTGGAGCCCATGCTGCCTGGTCACCTTCCTTGCCCAGGTGCCACAGCTGGATGATATATCTAGCTAAAGGGAAACTTTCTGCTTTGAAAAACTTAACAAAAGAAACTTTATTCTTACTTTTTAGAAGCAGGTCTGTCATTTCTTAATTTTCTCCCTGGTACATTTTCCAGCCATTGTTTTGCTAACAATTGCTCTAAGCACACAAATAAAGCTCACTGGTGGTGGTAGATGTGGGAAATTGCTACAAGCTTCCTCACAGCTTTATCCTCCTTCTGTCAGCCATTTCCCCAAGAAAATGGACGTTTAATCAGTATGGGGCTGCATCTTGTAAGTCTAGCTCATCAGCTATCACCTCCTTCTGGGCTCGAGAGAAGAGACAGAAGCCTACAGCACTGCCACCAACTGCCCCGGATGCAGGGATTTCAACAGGAAACGGGACCTTTATAAATGAAGCACATTATGTATCTCAGTGTGGGTATGTCTATATGGTCATATGTAAGTTACTTCTAAACACCTGTAATTCTTAAGATGGGCATACGGCAATGCTTGTGAAATTGCCTTTTTGAAGGAAAAGCTTTCAAAATTGGGGTTATTTAGTCCACAATATGGAAAATTGAGGGCGGGTTTCATATGTGCAAATTTAACAGAGACATAAGAACAACAATATCAGCATCTTCCGTGTTTTTCCTCAGGGTAAGAAGAGAGAAAATGAGCTGCAGGTGCTGGAGAAGGGACTGAGGTTCACCTTAGGAAGAACATCGTGTCAATAACATCGAAGCTCTGGAGAATCTCATGGAAGGAGCTTCAGGGTTTTGGCCAACATTCACTCTACCAACATTTACTGAGGACCTTCTGGGCCTTTCTTGGTTTGTGTCTAATTCAGTCACAGAGCTAAATCGGGAAGATTTCACTCAAATGCTTCTCTGGAGGGTTTCCCTAACGTGAAGTATTGCTATCTCTTTTTTCCCAATTTTTCTTCTCATTCTCTGCCACCTATGAAGGTTCACAGGGCCCAGTCCTGGACTCTGCAAAAAAAAAAAGCTTTAAAAATCAAGAATGATTCTAAAAGGAAATCTGACCCACCGCACCAGTCAAGATTTCAGCCTCTTGATCAAACAGCCACTCATAAGGCAATGGCGTGCTGAGAAAAGCAGGCAGTAATGGTAGCCAGTTCAGAGGTGTGAGGACATGCTGTGAACTGGTTTATATTACCTACCTCCTTTTACTCAACAGAAACTTTCTTCTCTACAGAAAACGGCAATACCACTACCATTCTAGGATTCCTTGTATCAGGCCTCACCCAACAACTGCTTGGCTGTCTATCCAGAATAGTTAAAACAGCCAGTGCCTCAGGGAATGTCATAAAATTTCACTGTATTCAGTGACGCCCTATTTAGTGAATTGCAGAGAACCTAGTCTTCTGCACACCTAGCTATGAATCACTGACTCAGTGACCTCCATTTGGGATCTGATTTCCTGAGGTAGTTAATTTAGCCTTCATGAGATGGAGGTACTGAACCTTTCTTAGGGATGCATGCCTAATTTCACATAACTGTGAAGTTACTTCAGTTGTTTACATGGCAATCTTGTGTGATCTAAGCAACTCTATTGCTGTCATTTTAAGACCGTTTGAAACATCTTAATAGTCCCATTTTTTTTCTTTTCCTCTTGCTCATTTCCAAATGGAAGGAATTCTTATGAGGTAATAGGGTGGTGGGGAGAAACACAGTTTGCTTTAGCTCCTACTAATTATTCCATGTTATGCTTGAGTGGATTATTTGCATCCAATCTCTATTTGTTAACATCAGTGGGCTATGTTTGCATAACTAGATCGAATTATAAAAGGACTTCCATTTTGAATGGTTAACTCTCACAAAAAGAAAGAAAGAAAAGAAAGAAGGAAAAAGAAAGGGAAAAAGAAAGAAAGAAAGAGAGAGAGAAAGAAAGAAAGAAAGAAGGAAAGAAAGAAAGAAAGAAAGAAAGAAAGAAAGAAAGAAAGAAAGAAAGAAAGAAAGAAAGAAAGAAAAGAAAGAAAGGAAGGAAGGAAGAAAGAAGGAAAGAAGGGACCATATCCTAAGCTAGAGATAGCAGCCTTGGGAAACCTGTATTGGAGGAAAAAAAGAATCTCTTAAAGTTCATCACAAAGACTTTCTGGTTTCAATTTCCTCTCTTCTTTTGAAATAAGATCCAGTACCCCAGCCCTCCACCTAGAGTAAAGTAGCTGGGACTTGGCAGGAAGTGGTGTGGCAGACCACCCAAGAATTAGGGGTATCTGATGTGGAAGGGAAAAGTTAAATGAAAATCTGAAAATGATGTCAAGTAGATGAGAATGAATCATCAATACTTAGCTCCCGTTTCTCTCCAGTGAAGATCCCTGTGCTAGATCTTCCAGTTAATCATCCAGCTAGGAAGGGCTGGGCTAAGTCACTTTCCAGGCCATACCTCAGCCTCCAGGCAGTGTAATCGTAACCCTTTCGAAAGACCTCCAACGCATTCAAGTTTCTCAGGAATGTTCCTGTTCTATAAACTCCTCAGGCTGTCTTCTGTCAACACACCTCTTTTCCTTTTACTCACACACATTTCCTTATCACCATCTGATGTGTTTTGTCCCTTCCAATAAACTGTGACGTTCTTGAAGCCCAACAAGAGCTCTTGTACCACCTGACTGTCCCCCCTCCACCTCCCAGCCAATACCTGGACAGAGGGGTAACTTACTTGGTCTATTATCACTCTGGATCAAAGTTCTCTTTTTAAGATTGCAAGATTCAGGAGAGCAGGACCTCAATTAGTGAAAAGTGCAAGTGACTTCCTGCCAGAGTCAGCTTCTACTGGTAGACATCTGAAGCAACCACACCTGGGGTGTGACTGGAAGGGTTTTAGAAACCTCCTTCCACCCTCACCTTCTGAAATTCCACCGAGAGACACCTTTTCACTTAAGGTTTTGATCTTTGTTAAAATACAGATTCCCCCGGGAGCAGTAACTTGATAAGTTATCTGTGATTTAGAGTAGATAAAGGAACTTACTGAACCTGGAGAGAGGAGAGGAGACAGCAGTGGAGGGGAAGTTTGGGTGTCAATTGGCCCCATTCACACCAAAATATTTCAATAATGTGTGATGGTGGTGTTGATATAAAGAATCATTCTCCTTCCAAAGGCCCAGCCCCCAACACCTTATGTATTGACTGAAGTATGAATAAGGATGGGGACATTTAGTGAATGCTTTCTATGTGCTAGACAGCACTCTAAACACTTAAATAGTAACTTGTTACACCTCACAACTCCCCGAAGTTGGCCCTGTTATCCCAGTTTTACAGATGAGGAAACTGAGGAAGAGAGGGTCCCAAAGTCACACAGACAGAAGGTGGCAGACCCAGGAAATGAGTAAGAATGATTGACACTTTTAAATATTCAAGCTTGCCTTTCTCATCCCTTTCCCATGTTGACTGCCACCCCTCCCCGATTTTCATCCTCCTCCCACCCTTGTCAGTAGATTTACCTGAGATAACCCCAATGAATCCTCAATGTGGGAAACAAACAGGCATCTAAGAAAATAGAAACAGCGATCCAGATATGGATGAGTCCTTCCACAAAGAAGTGTTCAAAAAATGACAACCAATATGCTGTCATTGATGACGCTTAAAAAATGTATATTGTGATCCAGTGCTTTAAAAGTACCCAGGGAATTTTCTAAATTGCAATATGCCCATTTTGGGTGCTTTCTCCCCAACACTGAGCAAAACAGAGATACTAACCATGGCAACCTCTATATCACTTGATACACGTAAAAGGAGCAAAGGCTTCCTGAGAGAGGCGGCCCTGCATCTGTGTGTGCATACGCTATTTCTAAGACGTGTATAAACTGAAGCACACACAGGACTCACCCAACAACTTCTTTTCCTTGAGGAGGATGAGTTGAGAAAGTTCATCTTGTGCATCAGACTAGAGAAGACAGACTCCTTATTCATCTTTAGATTGGAAAAATAAAATACGCGTTGGCTCCCTGGAGTTGGAGGTGGTAGCCCAGTAATTAGAAGGAGACCAAGCAAGAGGAAAAAAGCAGATAAACAGCAGAGTGGCGGTGGGACGGCAGCATGTTTTGCTCCCGATAGGCATTCATGTTTGCAGGGTCTCGTTCAGTGGAAGGGCATGGGATTGGAAAGTGGATTGCTCTGAGGATGCCCTCACAGTACAGCTCACGGAGTAACATGACTGGGACACCTATGCCCCTGCGGACCTCTGAGAAGGAACTCCAGGGACAACCCTGCCACCAATGGAAGCCGGTTCTTCAGCAGGTGTGGCAAAGCTGAGATTTGCCTATGAGGCCAGCACTACTCCAAGGTGCGGCTGGGTTCTTCCTGGGAATTGCTCTTTCCCAGTCAGCATCAGAAATCAGCAGCAGAGTAATGATTAGAGAAATGCAAATCAAAACTACAATGAGGTATCACCTCACGCCAGTCAGAATAGCCATCATTAAAAAGTCTACAAACAATAAATGCTGGAGAGGGTGTGGAGAAAAGGGAACCCTCCTACACTGTTGGTGGGAATATAAATTGGTACAAACCACTATGGAGAACAGTTTGGAGGTTCCTTAAAAGACTAAAACTAGGGGCTTCCCTGGTGGTGCAGTGGTTGAGAGTCCACCTGCCGATGCAGGGGACACGGGTTCGTGCCCCAGTCCGGGAAGATCCCACATGCCGCGGAGTGGCTGGGCCCGTGAGCCATGGCCGCTGGGCCTGCGCGTCCAGAGCCTGTGCTCTGCAGCGGGAGAGGCCACAGCAGTGAGAGGCCCGTGTACCGCAAAAAAAAAAAAAAATGCTGGAGAGGGTATGGAGAAAAGGGAACCCTCCTACACTGTTGGTGGGAATGTAAATTGGTACAACCACTATGGAGAACAGTTTGGAGGTTCCTTAAAAAACTAAAACTAGGGGCTTCCCTGGTGGCGCAGTGGTTGAGAGTCCGCCTGCCGATGCAGGGGACACGGGTTCGTGCCCTGGTCCGGGAAGATCCCACATGCCGCGGAGCGGCTGGGCCCGTGAGCCGTGGCTGCTGAGCCTGCACGTCTGGAGCCTGTGCTCCGCAATGGGAGAGGCCACAACAGTGACAGGCCCGCGTACCGCAAAAAACAAACAAACAAACAAAAAAAAAAAACCTAAAACTAGAGCTACCATATGACCCAGCAATACCACTCCTGGGTATATATCTGGAGAAAACCATAATTCAAAAACATACATGTACCCCAATGTTCATTGCAGCCCTGTTTACAATTGCCAAGACATGGAAGCAACCTAAATGTCCATCAACAGAGGAATGGATAAAGAAGATGTGGTACATATATACAATGGAATATTACTCAGCCACAAAAAAGAACAAAATAATGCCATTTGCGGCAACATGGATGGACCTAGAGATTATCATACTGAGTGAAGTAAGTCAGAGAAAGACAAATATCATATGACATCACTTATATGTAGAATCTTAAAAAAATGATACAAATGAACTTATTTACAAAACAGAAACAGACTCACAGACTTCAAAAACAAACTTCTGGTTACCAAAGGGAAAAGGTTGGTAGGGGGATAAATTCGGAGTTTGGGATTAACGTATACACACTATGATATATAAAATAGATAACCAACAAGGACCTACTGTAGAGCACAGGGAACTCTACCCAATACTCTGTAATAAACTATATGGGAAAAGAATCTGAAAAAGAATACATATATGTATATGTATAACTGAATCACTTTGCTGTACACCTGAAACTAACACAGCATTGTAAATCAAGTATACTCCAACAGAAAATAAAAATTAAATTAGAAAACAAATCATCAGCAGAGGCTTTCGCCCTAAGCTCCACAACCTTCCTTGTGAGCCTGAGGTGTTCTTACGTGTTGTGTGACTTTAAAATTTTTAATGATCTTCACAAAGTTCATATTAAGGAAACAGCTCTTTGAAGCACACCTCTTAACCCTTCAAAACTTGTCTTTATAATTTGGGGGTTTGGACTGATTAATTTTTATGACAACCCATGTAAAGAATTTCCAAAATTTATTCTTTCCTTTCATTATTGTCATTGGAGGCCACACTGTCTGTTCTTGTGCATAAGTAGTGTATGGTCAGCTTGTTGAGACTTTTGGAGGCTTATAATTACCAATAAAGCACTGATAACTACTGTGCTTTACTCTTGTACTAGTAAAAGACTAGTAGTACATTTTTTACTTTGAAAGAAATTTTACTTTCATAATGACCTTGGCTTGCTGGCATATCCAGTGCTACAAAAAGTATTGATAGCTGCCTAGGTTGTGTATCCTTTGCTTTCTACCATCCATGCTTAAAATTAGAGACACAGGAAGGATTTTACCAGCCCCAATATATCTATAGTTAACAGAAGTTAGAGGAGTTCTCTTTCATTCTGAAAGGAATGGGAATTTTTTTTTTTTTTGAGAATTACTGAACCCACATTTGGTAATAAGCCCATTATATAATGGGTTCAGATATCAACCGTCAGTTTTTCCTTATTAAAAAATGCGGGGGGGAGGCTTTCCTGGTGGCGCAGTAGCTGAGAATCTGCCTGCCAATGCAGGGGACACGGGGTCGAGCCCTGGTCCAGGAAGATCCCACATGCCGTGGAGCAATTAAGCCTGTGCGCCACAACTACTGAGCCTGTGCTCTAAAGCCCACAAGCCACAACTACTGAAGCCCATGCGCCTGGAGCCCGTGCTCTGCAACAAGAGAAGCCACCGCAATGAGAAGCCTGTGCACTGCAACAAAGAGTAGCCCCCGCTCGCCACATCTAGAGAAAGCCCGCATGCAGCAACGACGACCCAACACAGCCAAAAAGAAATAAATTAAATTAATTAAAAAAAAACCAAAAAACAGAGGCAGGAACCCTTAACTGATGGGACAAGGGAAATCTAGCTGTTCACACCTACTCTGGAGAACTTCTGAACATCCCATGGGGTCTTATTATTAAGTGTGTGTTGGAATGTCAGCTTCTTTCTTCAGGATCTTTAACTACTGATTCGTTTCTTTTTTAAAGTACTGTGTTTAGGTATTCAGTCCTTATCAACTTATTCCAGGGGGAGACTTTGCATCTCTAATATAGCTGTTTCTGAGTCACTTGCAGCTCTTCCCATCTCTAACCTGGGCACTCCAGTCACAACCACATTCTCCTGGTGAGATCAGTGTTCTCTCTCTGAGAGTACCGTGGCCAGGGCAGGGGCAATTTAAAAGCCCTATCTCATGGGAACAATTTTTTCTTCTTGGAGTTTGAAGTAACTGCTTCCTTCAGTGGGAGAATTATGAAGAGGATCATTGACCAGCCTTTGTCTCTCACTTAACGTATTGCTGTTTGAACACTTCATGTTCAATATCACCTTGAGTACACGAACACCCAAGGCCTTGAGAAAACTCTGACATACATCGAGGGGGTACTGATGAGATGGGTGGTCCAGCCAAGTCACTTGGCTCTGGCCTCTGACTGAAGGGGATCCCAGACTGTGGCTGCTATTCTGTAGCAAACTCACACAGAAAAGCAGAGAGCATATCACCATCACGTGGATACTAAATTAAATCCATCAAACTCTTAGTTCTCACGATATCTGCAGGAGAAACGCCAGATGCAGGAGTGAGGGGCCTTAAAATCTGTAAGCTTCTTTGTCCTTTTGGAGGCTCTCCGACAGCCCAAAGACCTGTTGATGCAGTAATATTTTGCCGATTCCTACAGCCAGGACTGGATAGAATTTTGTTATATCAGCAGTTGTCAGTCAACAAACCTCTCTCTTGTTGGTAAGGTGCATCAAAGGCCAGGACAATACCAGGAATGACTATTAAGTGTCCCAACAGGAAAAGGAGGCATCGTCACCCACATTGCTGGCCAACTGGTAAGAACCAAGGCATATGGAGAAGCAGTGCAGGCCGGAGTGAGGAGTGCAGACAGATGAGAGACAGCTGTTCCCTGGCAGGGTTCTGCATTACCTCGAGGGGAGAGCCAAGCTCTGGCTCTTGGAGGGACTGCTGTCTGCACTCGCACGCAGAGGCAGGGCACACAGGAGGGGCCCTGGGAGTATGCTCAGGCAAACGTGAAACTCAAGCCCTGAAAGCTAAGCCCCAAATCCAAATACGCTGTTACGCAAAGCATTCACAGATTGGCTCGCATTTGATTATCGTATGAGGTTACTTGTTGGCATGTGCTGAGTAATTCCCTGGCATGCCCGCAGCTTGTCAGGGGCATTCCTTCCTGAGTCACAACTGGACCAACAGCCTGGCTCAGGGAGCAGGGGCCAGCGCTGTCTAAGAGGCTATCTTTTTGATGAAACCTACAGCCCTCGGTCCTGATTTGCTGATGTCACCATGCTTGCTTTTCCATCTTCAAAGATGAGCTGGTAGGCATTTCCAGTGAGTGTTTGACAGACTCAAGGAAACATTTTGGGGGTTGCACATAACTGTTGAAGTGAGGAATATTCATCTGTCATCAGTTGGATGAGAAAAGTTAAAATTCCTGCCAGAACTTTGGAGGCCTAGGGAGATGGCATCTCTCACGGGAGCAACATTAGGCCAATTACAATGCTCAGCATTTTCCCAACACTCTGGGTTCAGAGCTCTTTGCGATCCGTTTGTTTCTTTAGCTGAGTTTCTTAAACACACACCACCCCTTGTGGAGCTCTCTGGGCCTCCACCCAAAAGCTGAAGGATACAAAGAGGAAGAAAAGACAGAGCAGGCGGCTCTACCCAAAGAGAGGAATCAAGCCAAATATTTCAACGATTCATTACTCTCCAAAAGCCTGTCAATACTTACAATGGGGGGAAATGGAGCACAGCCAAAATGTACAGCAGTGGAAGACTGGCCACATACAATATGGAAAAATAAGCAGTCATTAAAGTCATGCTGTAGATTGTAGAAGAAACTTCAACGACACGGAAACCTATAAACAATATATGGTTAAGTGAAGCTAATTACAAGACATCATGGACAATATGATTACATTTTGTACATACATATATATATTTCTAGGTGATATTTACATATAGAGAAAAGACTGAAAGAATATAAATTAACATGTTAATAGCAATATTTCTAGGTTGGGGTGGATTATAAGAGATTTTTCTTTCTTCTTTTCTCCAAACTGTCTACAATGAACACGTTTTAATTTTGTTTACATTTTGTTATTATTATTATTTTGCTTATAAAATAAAACGTGCTCACAGTATAAGGTTCAAACAATACAGACATGTTTAAAGTCTAAAGTAAAATTCCTCTTAATCCTGCCTAACAGATAATCCTTGCATGTACAAATCTGTATTTTAAAATTATTCTAGAATATTTATGCAATAGAATTACATGTAGGTCTTCAATTCGCTTTTTTTCACTTAAGGTATCTGGCACATCTTCCCAGGTATGTGTGAGTACTTTTCTTTTTGTCTTTTTTAAGTTGATCAGTGGGAGCCCT